AAGTTGAGTAGTTTCAAGGCTATACTCTGTTCAATCAGAGGCTGCACTTTCTTCCTTCATTTCCAAACCTACACTTACATGTTCAATTAGTTTTAAGGCTACACAAATGTGTTAAATTACTTTAAAGCCTCAACCAAGTTTTCTGTGGATTTCAAGACGTATCATTTCACTTTCTAAAGTAATCAAAACTGTTAAAATCCTGGTGTTAAATGCAGATGTATTAGGTAAAAGCCTACACAGGTTGAATAATCAATTGAAAATGCAATCAAGCAACAATGATTTATTTCTATGTATTCTTTCAATTATAAATGTCTGACTGGTTAAAGAAGGAAGTGAATAGTGCTCTCAACCATACAATTCCTTTCAGATTATTTGTTTTAGTATAAAAAAAGGCTGTTATAGAATGTTTATGACCAGAACCACAGGGAGAAAGCCAACAATTTCCCGACTAATCCATCCACAAGCAGGCAAGCATGAAATGAGCCTAAAAGCTTCTGAATCTAAATAGGAGGGAATGACAGAGCAAATTGTCTGCAAATATACACAATTATTGCACATAAAAGATTGTATTTCACAAGGTACTCATTAAGCAATGCTATTTAAAAGCAGCTAAAAACATAAAGTAAATGAAGTGTGAAGTAAATTGCTGTAAAATTTGTAATCCTTTAAGAAATATTTTTTCTCCATTTTTTCTCTTCCAAATGCTATTTTAATGTGAGTGCTATTCACTGTTAAATGTGAATAAAATGCTCTTGATTCAATTATTTGCCAGTCATGTCCAGTTGGCAAACAAAATGAGCAGATGTAGTTTACCAAAATTGTAGGAGGTTTTCATGTATCTACTACACAATGAACAAGCATATGAGAATTATCTTATATGTAAATCCAATCACATCAGAAAGATACATGTCTTTAGAGCTTGAGAAGATTTGAAGAGAATATATTTCTAATCAAGAAATACAAAGACAGCTGTTTTTAATACCAATATCAAATCCTACCAGTGTTTTGTAACATCTGATGAAGGTGTTTAATAGACAGATTGATAGATTGATAATTACATTTTTTTTAAACCAATCAAGTATTTTATCACATCAAAACATAACACTAAATTGTTTTTAAACTGACAGTTGAAAACTTCAAGTAATGTACAATTGACATAAAGCAGAATCCGTTAGTGTTAGAAATTACTTTTTACACTTAGTAACTTTTCAGATCTTTTTTCATGAACATCTTGAAAATAAAGTTGAAAATGTTAAAATATTTGGTTATCAGTAATTGTATAAACTTATTTATATTTGCAATATCATGTTTTTCAAGTAGACTATCACATCCATATATGTCCACATTGGCAAGCAGTTGGTAAAACAAAGGGGTAGGCTTAATCCTGTTTTACGTTTCAAATGTAAAAGGTAACACATGAATATATAATGAAGATATGCTTAGGAAAATCAAAAACAATATTAAAATACCAGAAAAATTCTTATAAACTTTTTATTTTGCAAAAACAATAGATGCATTCTTTGCTTGAACTGTAATAACATAGAGCTGATTAAATGGTCACCATAACCAAGCTTCAAACTGTCAAAGAATCAAATTGCATGAAGAAAATTGATATTTCATGTGAGATTGTCTGATTGTAGAGAAATATTATCTCCTATACACGTTTAGACTCCAGCTATTTTTAATCAGATTAAATTCCATTACATGACATGACACATTGTCATATCTTCCAGACTATTTAGTTGATACCCTATTAGTACTGATTAACTTAGTTTACAGGTGAGCTCAATTACACTAGGCTATCAAGCATAAAATCAGATCCATCACCTTAATATTCACTGGTAGTTGACAATTTTTGCTTGAAAATTGAACAGATGTAAGTGTTGACAAATACTGCCTAAATCCAGCAATTGAACAGTTTCCTGCAGATGGCTCCAATGGTAAGCAGTAGTTGAAGTTGCAGAGGAACTCAGCAAGTCACAAGGTCAATCTTAACTCTTGTATATGTCTAATCTTAGGAGAAACAAAATTGTGCTTTCCCTTTCAGATGATGCTCCTTACAGGAATGTGATAGGTCATAAGAAATTTTTCCTGGATGGCAGCACTAATTTACATTGTCTATAGTATCAATTTCACCTGTCAAGGAATGTTAACATCTTGGAAGTATCATTAGCATATCATTCACAGAGTCCACAATGTATATACCATTATTGGTATTGGTACAGTAAAAACAGAATAAAAAGATAAATTTTCAATTTTTATTTTCAAATATCAACAATCATTCTAAATATATAGCAGTGTTAAAACAATAGTAATAGGGTAGTTTATTGGATTTGTGTAAGAAATAAAAAAAACAGCAGGTTTGAGAAAGGCATGATCTTTCACTCATCATAAATACCTTGAACATAGTGAATTATAAAATCATATCTCAAACATATAATTACAACTTATCCATTGAATAGAAAACAAATAAAATTTACAATTCAAAACAGAATCATCATACAAGGACTGATAATTTGACAGAGTTATAGTACAATTATCTACAGAACAAGACAGAGCTGTTGATAGAAATAGACCTTCATGGTGTTGTGAGGTAAAAACTGTCTATAACTAGCATATGAATTGAAATAGTCCAGATTTAGATGAATTTTTATTGGAATGATCAATGGCTTGAAAATTCTAGCAAATCCATTAATTACAGTAGAATTAGGAATATTGTGTGCTAGCATGTATAACGTCCCTAAATCAAGAAAAAACCTCTGTAAATAATAAAACTAGTTGATCTTTATGTTCTTTCCCACCACTGTGGTTTCTGTGGCATCAAATGATTTATTTAAGGTTATTCATATGCCAGTTAACAGACAGTAGTTTGTGTGCAACCAACTTTACAGCAAGCATAATAAACAGTAATAATAACAATTGTAAAGTAATAAATATTCATATCTTAACAAATATATCTATAATAAACAATATATTCTCCATAATATACATCATATTTATATATTATAATTACTCTCCCATCCCCAATAATAACACGTCAGTAATAACATAATATATTCAGCCAGTCATTGACCGCAACACAGTTTAACAAAGTGAAAATTGTACATTTCCTTTCAATGTGATATTTCTCAATAGTGATCTGATATCCACTGAAATTTCATATTTCTAAATCATGCTCTGTTGTCCAGTAAAGGAGTTGAATATTGGATGCAGGATTAAGTTAACTAGACAAACACATAACAGACTAATAATACAATACTGTTTGTATGATTACTTTATTTTCCTGCTCTCTTTGAAAAGTTATATAACATCCACAAGTCTCAAATTGAAAACAAAATTGTTCATATTAGATTTTGATAGGTTTGTGTTCTGTAGTTTCCCAGGTTAATTCATTGGATTACAATAAAACGCATGAATTTGTTAGATAACCAAGAGTAACAAATATTGGAATGAAATTTTCCATGGATACTAAAAAAGGTGAATGTGAAAAGAAAAATTGATTCCATGGTCTTGTAAATCTTAGAATTATTTCTGCCTCATTTTTGTCCTTTAGATTGACAATCATGTCTAATTATAACTTTCTCAAAGCCAATGTTGTCTTGAATCAGTAAACAGGCCTTTGGGTGATATGGACACATAATGTAATAAGTATAAATAAGAATTCAATTTGTTTTTTTCGCTGGTATATATTACATCTTACAATTGTGACGTAAAGTTTACATTACTAGTAAATATTGGATTAATGAAAAATGAATATATTGGCAAACAAAATGTAATTATTAACACCATTGTCTTCAGGGTATGATTCAAAGAAATTGAATTCACTTACAATTTCAAGACTATCACTGGAACTAAAATCCTATTAACAATTCAAAGAAAATAAGTAAAGTTTGTAGCTTGAATAAAATGAACATACAATTTACACCATGACAAATGAGTTGTAGTATAATAAGATGTACATGTATGTATAAAAGCATGAAATTGGCACAGTCATGTGAAATTGTAATTATACATTTCCATTAACATTACATGGTTCATTAATATTTTACCAAAGCTTTTAATACACACCTGAGCATGATGAATACAAAAACAAGAGCAGTTTATTAGATTTTAAAGTAGAATAAAGAGTTATTGAAATTGGGAGGCTTAGATTTTGTTCATTACTACTTGAGCTAGCTTAAAAAATAAACCGGGCTACTCATTCTGTTCCAGGGGAGTATCAAAAAATGCCTGAAGGGTAGGTCAAATATGGTAGGTGTCTGTCCGAATTCATGAAGTTCCAATTGACCTGGCCCAATGTTTCATCCCCTTTGCATCTTACCCTGATGTGCATAAAATACTTGCTTGACCGTAAATGAGTTAACAATAAGTAAGCTTTTGTCATAATGTCTCTCTTGATACTCAGGGTGTATCATTGACCATTTAAAGACTGGTTTGTTTTATCTACAATTTTTTATAGGAAGTTGTTTCCCTTTTTTTCAACTTGTAATTCTGTTGTGTATCATATACTTGTTACATGGTAGAATTCAAGAAACAGCCTTATACTAACATCATGATCATTTGTGTTCCTTAAAGTAAGATATTGAACTTGAAGTTTGTAACCCAGTAAAGCAGTACAGACAATATACTTTCACATGACCAACAGAAACATTACCAATTAATATCAGTATATCATCAAACTCATCTTAGTATCAATACACAAATCGGTGTTAGATAAATACTGCTATTAAGGGAATACTGTGCTCTATAAATGAAACATAAATATACACAATTTGATAACACAGCCAATTGTGAAAAGTTACATAAGTCTCTTTGGAACATTGATTTGCAAATATTTCACCACTTAAATACACATAATTCATAATTTTAGCTAATACACACAAACTGTCCATGTTGAATTACAATTCCTTTTCTAAAATATACACTTTCCAAACAAAGTAGGAAAAAAACAAAAACATAGTTTTAAAAATAAATTCAAAACATATTCAGCAATTGAATGTTTATTTTGGCGAATTAGAATTGAGGGGCACTGCTTCAGTATTCTCATCACTGGGAATTTCCACTTTCTGACCATGTCCGTTTACATTAACCGCGCTTAATTTTCTTAATCTTTCCTCCTCACCCATACATTTTTTATCAATATTTAATGCTTTGAAACAGGCGCGACGAATGTTTCTGTCCATAGAGCCATAGATGATAGGATTACAACTATTGGCTACTGCGTACAATACTGATATAACCACATAGCAATCGGCACTAAATAACAATTTTTTATCAATACTTCGCACAATTCCATAAGGCAGATATCCCAGTATAATTACCAGGAAAACAAATCCAAACATTTTGGTAATCTGAATCTCTCTTCTCAACCATTCTCTTTTCCTTGTTGCTCTAAAAGCACTTGACGATTGGTGAACTTTTATAAAGATGGCAATATAACATATAATTAACATTAACGAAGGCATTATCATTAACACTATACTGACTAACATAGTGTACAGTCCAAAACCTTGTCTTATGATACAGCGTAATAATTTCGGTTCATAATGAACCATGTTACCTAGATGTGGTTGGATCAGAAACAATAATGGCACAATACGGGCTGTGGTCAGGACAAATATAGTATAGGAGCGTTTGGATATTTTTTTATAAAAACTGTTAAAACATACAACTATAAGTCTGTGGATGGCAATAAGTCCTGTATGCCATAATGATGAACCCATTAAAAGCACTGTAAAATGAGTAACCATTTCACAAACTATTAGTCCAGTAGACCATGTCATCATAAAGTATGAAACTAATACCAATAAATTAGATATCCCAAGATTCATTATATCGTTGATACACAAACTGACTATAAACATATTAGTGATATTTTTCAGTTCTCGGTTAGTTAAAATGGCATACATTGTTAAAGCATTGGCAAACAGTCCCCATAATAAAGATATCAGCATCACCACTGCACCAATACGTAAAGCTAGAGCTGATGGTCCTGCTCCAGATGATGAAGAATTGGTTATATTATAATCCATAGTCATATTTAATGTTATGTTCTGTAGAGCACTTAATGTTGATGATATTCCTTCCATTTCTTTGGATATATATACTTTTGGTATCAGTTAAAATTTCAGAAATCACTTTAAAAATTCTGGCAATACTGTTACACACAATATTCTGGCAATTCTGTTTATATTAATTCTGTTTATATTAAGTGTAGAGCATGGTACTCTGGTAAATCCTTCAGTTGACAAACACATCTTTCAATGGTAGACACTTCATGATAGGTAGTAAACATGTTGGTATCTTCTACAGTTATCCAAGGTCTCTGTTGACTATGATGGTCATCTGGTCATCAATCAAATACTTCAGCAACCTGTGAAAAACAACAAGAGGCTATTAATAACCCTAATTAATTACTATCTAGACCACGTCAGCTAAGCAGTAAATATGCCGCTTATTGCATTAAAGAGAAAATTGGTAGGAGATAAAAGTGTCATAAAGCAGTTAATAAATATGATAGGATAAAGGAATAATAATCTCAAACTGTCATATATACTGGAAACCACACTCAATTATTTATTTGATGAAACGGAAACCATGACTTCTAAATGATAGGGAGGTATTAAGGAAAGAGATCAATAACTTATTCAAAGCCTTTAATTCCAGATTACCTCCAAATATTATTATCAATATCATTGATGATATCAGAGTTCCGGATATCGAGAGATCAAACAGTCATATCAGATTGGTCTGGTCAAATTGGTTTACTTAAGTTACTTACAAAAAATTGATGGAAGTCTTTATAATCTCACTTAATAATTTGGTACACAAGTTCTTGAAAGAAAGAAAATTTTAACCAGAATGTTTTGTAACATAAGGCATACAAACTTTCCTTGTTTGATAAAAAAAAATTGTTAGATTTAAATAAAAATTATTGTTGCTATTCTAAATTTCAAATTATAATTGCTTAGTAACATTTCTCTATTTATATTGTTGCAGATGTGCAAAGCAAATTATGTTTTCTTACTAATGGAGTTATTAGCAAGAGAAAAGAAATATTTAAATTTTTGTTTGAATGTGATAATCAAAATATATATCATGCATCATTGATGTTTTACACTCACACTTTAAAACTTGTTTTATCCAGAGTTTTCTGTAATTCTGACACTAGCTCTAGCTAGGTGCCCTCACATCATAGGGTGGTCATGAGCTCTGAACTACACAGTTGCATGAGAGTTGCCTTCAAAACTTATAACTAGTATTCTTCTTTGCAACTAGTGATCGCTATGGTGCAAGGGCTACTTGATCATCTCTCATGTACAAAAAATGAACATAATTCACATTTAACAGTTATCACACTTTATGCTTATTTCTTGCCATCACAAATTTGGTTCAAGAAAAAGCAAGATTGAAAACTGTTATCTCTTCACAGTACAAGCCCTACCATTCAATTAAAGTATTAAATCTCATCAGGTGAAAATTGGCTGGTTACACAAATAGGGTAAAAAGTAACATAAAGTCAGATATGAGGCTCATGTCCACAAAAATCATTTTAACATTTTCGTTTTCATCAATAATTTACAAATCTGAGTTTTCATGAAAAAAAAAATTGAATGACATTTACAATATTTACTGGAAATAACCTTTTAAATAATGATAAAACTTTTTATCAAAACAATCTATTCTAGAATAAGAATTCATTCTCATAAATTAAATCGTTATACAGGTACATGGTTACACATCTTGATGAAGATGTCCATTGAAAAAAAAAACCAAAAAATTAAAATATTATCTTAATTATTAGAAAACTGTTTCAAAATTGATTTTCTAGTTTTCTAGAAAGAAGATTCTTAACTGCTATGCACCTTAAATATTTAGACATTTTCAACTTGGAACAATCATTAGAATCATTGCTAACAGGAATTATGTTTATATATATATATACTAGCTGAAACAAACCCACGTCAGATCTCAGAGAACTAAAATCAGACTATCAGTTCCCATACAGTTACAGCAAAAGAGATCCTGGAAAATTTAGACTATCATAACTGAAGGCTTTTAACATCATTCTATTAGCTACTAGTATGTTAGCAATAGTATTATAATATTGTTAATAATTGCACATGAAGATTTGAATAATGTCCTGGAAGTTACGGTTTACATAGTGCCTTTTTTGTTGAATTGTAGGTGAACAGATTTCTGAAAAGAGACAGGTCATCTGATATCACTTTAAAACACACTGACTGTAAATTTTATAATATTACAAGTATTATTATATAGTGGACTTATCTTTGTATTATCAAAGGAAAGTTTAATGAAATGGATTGTCCTTGTGGAATAATGTGATACTAATCTTCTTGAAATTCTTTCCATTGGAAATTATTTTGACCTATATATTTAATAACCTTATACAACTGTTGGTCCCTTTGGAATCAGATAAACTTTATGGCTACTTAATGAAATAAACCATTCAACTCTTAATTTATTAGAAAGTAACAATACTAGATAGAATAATGCAGCTTCATGGTAGGAAATAGTTATAATAATACTGTGACCAATGTATATAAGACACAGATATTACATATATATCGCATTAGAACGACTAAAAGATAACTGAAAACAATTGGCATGAGAGTGAATAAAACTTAAGATTCCTCTCTCAGGATCACAACAATTCTAATTCAATGAATACTTATCATTATACAATCATGTCCAGTTTAGGTTATAATATTGGGTACACAAAGCATGCTCACTTCTTTGGAAAACTTGGGACCAACAGTGATCATTACATTTTGTCCAGATACAAGTTCACTTGTCTATTCTGTCTTAATATCCAACCGTCAATATCAATTGTAGCAAAGTGGACATGCATGTTTGGCAAGAGATACTAAGAAAAAGGCACTCCTTATCTGATCACCTACCTTATCACAAAGCTTGAATAAGGAGAGACTGACTGAGCCAAGTAATCAAATTTGGAATGTATGGACATTGTCAATGCCTAAAAGATTAATTAATTGTCAAGAAAGTAACAGAACAAATAACATGTATTTAGGTTAATTTATTAACACATGCATGCAGCCTCAAGGTTTCATTATCATTAATAATAGCTTTCTCTTTATAAGATTTGCCAGTACATGGTAAATGTACTACAAATTGAAAAAATAAGTATAGGTCTTGTCTAATGTACATAAAGATGGTGATTATATTCATCAAAGAACCAAGAGGCAAGAAGTCCCAAGAGACAAATATAAATGTTTAAAACTTCAGACATGTGATAATAATCCTTCCTGAAGGGCTGACATTTCTCAGCTAGTATTCAACAAATTACATGTATCATGAAAGACAGTTCAACATATTGCCAAATCAGCATATATTGTAAGCTGTTCATGTAAATAAAAGTTGTACAAAAATTGAGAATGGTGTAAAAGAATTATATACTCATGTACTGTGAAATCTAAATCAAATCTCCTATTGAATTAGAGCTCTGTTATAATAAAGCTATGAAAGATGTCACTGGCAAGTGAATTTCCAACCTTTCTAGAACACCTGATAGTACTCTGCAACTGGGTTTGCCCACTCAGCATCTCACAGTCACATTAACTGTTTCTTTTATTTATAAATTTATCGTGCGTACACCAATGACTCTTTTGGTACACGTGATCACCTATGACGTCATTCTCAAAAGACTTAAAGTTCAACTGCAATAGTGATAATCATAAAGATATCAATAACAGAATATTTTGGAATATCCCATGGAAAGTAAGACAGGATTCTATTTGCACTAAGAGTAGATTGATCATTATCTCAATGATAAGTAGATCAAATAGCCATTTATTCTTCAATTGTTATTCAAGTTCTGGAAAACGGATCATTTGTAGCATGTTAATTTCTAGTTCAAGTCATTATACAAAATTAGATTTCTAGCCTTAATTCCAAGGAGACGCTATTCAGATTTAGACAGTGTGACTACCACACAGATTGCTTTGTTCAATAAAGAACATAGAGACATTAATCATGAAAACAGAGTGGAAAATCCTAAGTAACTTAACCTTACCAGCAGGGCTGTATCATTAACTCTATAGCAGCATTGAAACGAAATTCAACTTTCATGTTATTTACTTGATCATAAGGCATGATTTTTCCTAATGGGTCCAAGGGCATCAAGAAACCCAACCCAGACTAAGTTTGGCAGAATTGTTATCAGGAATAGTTACCAGTCATAAGATCAATAGCATGAGTAACATGTTTCAAGTTCTGTTTTAATATTTCTATTTATATGAATAGGTACATGTAACTAAAATCTACTAAGAGCTAAAATTCAGTTCTTTATCTCATATGTACTGGTTGCCTCTTAGTTTTCAGAAATATGACAAATGTAGAAATCATATAAATATGCTAGTTTTACAATGTCCATGGTCATAATAACCTTTCTTTTCCCATGAATTTTCACAAAAAAATTTTCATCAATATCATGATTGACTTAGGTTTCGTCTTGTTTTTAAAACATATGATAAAATTTCAAGTACCTTATTTCTTAAAAAGAAAGCTACTTCACCTGACCTTTTTGACTTTGAAATTTACAACTTTGCATTTAAGTTTGAAACCATGTATTGGGAAAAAAAACAATCACCTCAAGTATTATGATGTTCAATTTACTGTTCTATATAATTCCTTCTGATCTTTTACGTAACTCAGACACCTACTTCAGATTACTGGATTAAGATAGATTAAGATGGCTTAAGACAGATTAAGAAAGTTTCCAGTGTTATCTTAATCTGAAAACAGCATTTAAGAGTAAGATTATTTATAACTATATGTTACATACTATAATATCATATACATGTTTTAATGGTGAATCTATACATCGTGATGATATGCCACAATTCCTCATGTTGCGTGGTAGTGTACTTTAAGATACTAGGCCTATCGAACATGTTCATCAAAATAAGAAGAATGAAGATGAAATTGAAAGTTAATGTTCCATTTGTGAATGTTAATATGACAACAGTAAGCTGCTGACAATTTTCTAACAAAATATCACTAATATCATAAATTTTGAAATAGAAATAGTATATCTATATTGCTCTAC